GCCACGACTCCATTATTTCTGAGGTATCTATCTCCTCTCTTCTTGGCCATTCTCTATTTTGGCCTTTTATATCACTCCAATGTTGAGCAACTATATTCGCTATTCTTCTTTCTTTTCCTACATAAGTTTCCATGACTCTTCCACATATCAATACAAAAATTTATAGCAAATATATTGATTTTTTCTTACCGTGATATGTATTGACTGACGTTATATCTATTTTTAAGTAATAGTTTACTATTTGTAAAAGCTTATTATGATAATTTTAGTTTTTGGCTAGTTCTGATCATAATATGATCAAAAATTCCCAATACCCTCTTTAGCACGCTTGGAGTTAATGAAGATATAAAATCAACAAATACATTGCTATTTTTATCGTCCCCACTAGCCTTATAATCTATTGCAACTATTCCCCTACTTTTTCCACCCGTTAGAAGTTTTCCAATTATGGGTATTTTAAAAATAAACTTATTAACGGAATATGCTGGTATTACTTGCCCTTTAACCTGAAATTTACGATCTTGAATACTCAATTTGCCACTGGTTGTAATACCCAATTCTGCCCCTTCAATCCAGGACTCTTCAATTTCAATAGTATTATCATTGTACGAAAAAGGTATATTACATTTATAAAAGTGTATACCTTCTTTGTTAAGAGCATTCACAATACCAGGAAGTGATGACATTGAGAGCAAAGTGGTCAATAATGGCGCATCTTTAACATAGAAATCGCTAATAGATATCATACCGTAACGTTCCCCCTCTTCCCTTTCAGAAGATAGATAAAAAGACATTTTTCCATTTTTCACAGACTGATTAATGCCTAGAGAACGTAAAAATATCCCTGCATTATCTGCATAAATTTCTAATCCTATTTCACTATATTTCGCCCGTATATTGCTGTTGTCCTGCGAAAACTTCCCTGTAAATCCGCTCCCATTACAATCGCCCTGAGTGCAGATTAAATTTAGCTCGGCATTATGTATAGTAATACCATTCTGCATAATGACATTATCAATGTCCATTTTCACCTCTATACTTTTTCCTGGACCACCATTACTTCCGGCAAGCCATTCTGGAATATTACTCAAGTTAATTTTTTCACCATAAATTATTACAACGCTCTTTTCCTTACTTGACTCAATTGTTATATTAAAATCATTATCGGGCAGATCAAAATTCGTAGAATCTAAACGTAAATTTCCATCTTCTACCCTTCCATTCAGCTTAATATTTAAATTATTTCCCGTCACATCTAATCTATTTATCAACAATTTGTTACTACCCTCAAGTGCTACAGAAAACTGGACCTTATTGTGATCTTCAAAATGATTGTTCCACCCTAAGTAGTTTGAACTTAAGCTTAACTCTGACAAATCTACATTTCCGTTTATAAATCCCGTATCATCTGGGTTGATTACTGATTTTACGTCTACACCTACATAGCCCACCATATTTCCAAAGATCTGGGCTGGTAAATCTCCATTGAACTCGCAGGTATAATGTTTATCATGCTCTTTAAAATTAAGCAGCAACTGCTTATTATTCACTATACCACTGCCACTTAAATCAATAAAATCGCGGCCAAATTTAAGTTTGATATCATACTTATCAATATTTGCATCATAAGTGGTTAAATTATTAATTTTAACATTAAAATCAGCTAAAAAATCTGCTTTTTTATCATTAGTTAAATTAAAAACCTGGAAACTGAATTTAGACTCTGCAGTACCATTAATTTTATCTTTCTCAATCGTCAGAACTTTATCTAATTTGAATTTAACAGGTTCATATAGGCCATATGCATTACTTGTAGCTTGCCCATGAATAACCAACACTGCATCTTCTCTTTCAAGTGAGTTAATGTTAATATTGCCACCATTGATAGCAAAGTTTTGAAATTTAGCATTGTCTACAGTAATCTCAAGGTTCCCGTTCTTCAGCTTTAAATTGCCATTTAATTTTTCTACCGGCACAAAATCATCGTCGAATTTCACACTACCATTTTCTATATCAGCAGTAATTTTGACATTTGATAAATTGCTTTCATTTACCTTACCACTAAAATCTATAACTGTGTTTACAATATCCCCATCAATGTTACTACAATACCAATCTTTAAACTTAGCAGCACTATCAGGCATGTAAGCACATACATCTTTTGCAGAGAATTTACTGATATTTACTCTAAGTAAAGCGTGATTCGTACCAAAATTCATTTTGCCAACTAAAGAGAGATACATATCTTTTAAATTAAAGTGAAAGTTTTTTACGCTGAGTAATTGATCGTGGTACACAAGTTTTATATTCACATCCCTTAATGTCGTTGAGTTTTTGTCTGCACTTAATATATATATATCTCCATTCAAAACTTCGTTCTTTTTATTAATCTTTACTGAAAAATTACCGTTAAGATTTGCATCTTCACCTAACTTTAAGTTATAAAACTCTCCATTTATAATCAATAAATCATTGCGGTTCTTCACTACTACGGACAGGTTATCTAATATTCTTTTGTCACTTTGTGTATGGATGTTAATATATAAATTTCTTTTCTTAGTAATGTACAACTTATCGATGTAAAACTCATCTTCTATATTTTTGTGTATTATCACATTAGTGACCTCAATTTTTGCGTTCTCACTTAAACTAAAAAACGAATCCCATACCATACCTAGTGAATCCCTTAAGTTAAAATCTACATCTTTAAGGTTAGTTTTCTTGTTAATGTACATAGATACATTATTGGTCAAGACTCTAGAAAAGTTTGTTCGAGCCCTAAATAAGGAACTGAACTCAAAATAGACAACAAGCTTGGGAATTTTGATGGTTACATTATGGTTCTCTATTATCAAATCTTTGATCATTAAACACGGATCTTTACTCTCTTTTTTCCAGACAAACAAAGTATTGCGTATATTCACATGTGAACCGCTAGAAATTTTGTTCTTTATATAGAAATTGATGTAACTGACATTGATCTCTATGGAATCCTTGCTTTTTAAATACAGGAAAAAGCCGAATAAAATTACAAGTAAAAGTATGATAATCTTTTTAAGCATTACCAATTGCTTTTCTTGCTAAGGTATCAGCTTCCTCATTATATTTATTACCATTGTGAGCTTTAACCCACTCCCAATTAATACGATGTTGTGAAGCTATGTTATCTAACTCTTTCCAAAGCTCCATATTTTTTACTGGTTTTTTATTACTTGTTTTCCATCCATTTGTTTTCCATTTATTTATCCATTCTGTTATTCCTTTTTTGATGTAAAGACTATCTGTGTAAAGATTAACAGTACAAGAAGTTTTTAATGCTTTGAGGCCATTAATTACTGCCATCAATTCCATTTGATTATTTGTAGTGTTTTTTTCTCTACCGTAAATGTCCTTTCTTTGATCTCTATATAATATCACAGCCGCCCATCCTCCATCACCTGGATTACCTGAACATGCACCATCAGTATATATTGTCACTTCCTTTGTATTCACCTTTATTACATAATTAATAAAGTATATATTACTCTTATGAAACTTCAATGAAAGAAAATTTCTACAGTAAATATAGTGCAGAACACACAGCGAAAATATACATTACAATGAATAAAAAAATAGCCTTAATACTTGCCTCTTTCTGGGAAAATCAACTGTGAGTTTAAATACTTAATAATTTCGTTGTATACCTGTGCTTCATCTTTTTTTTGAACCTCAGTGATAGTGTAGCATCGTTCAGGATTTGCTATAGCTATTTCTTGAAAACCCCTTCTGACCTTATTATAAAAATCAACGTCCATTTTCTCGTATTTATTCTGGTTCTTTACTCTTTCTATTCCAATGTTAACATCTACATCTAGAATAAAAGTAATATCCGGATATTTTATTTCAAATAAATCATGTAATTTCTTAATTAACCCTAAGTCAACACCAGACCCGTATCCTTGATAAGCAATGGTTGAGTCAATAAACCGATCACAAATTATAATCCTTCCATTTGCAAGAGCTGGCGATATAACTTTCTTTATATGCTCATATCTCATTGAAACAAGTAACAGAAGTTCGGAAACGGGATCGATACTACTTACTAGTAGTACTTCCCTGATTTTTTCTGCAAAATCAGTACCACCAGGTTCTCGAGTCAAAACCACACTTTCTTTACCGTAGATTTCCTTAAAATAATCCGCAAGTAATCTAGATTGAGTTGTTTTGCCAGATCCGTCTATCCCTTCAAAAGTTATAAACATAAACCTAACGTTTTTTCTTGTAGAGACTGCTCCAAACTCTCTTATTAGTCAACACAAAAAACACTGTTAAAAACATAAAGTATGTCATAACTTTCAGGCCTAACTTGTGACGATGCTCTAGCTCTGGTTCTGCAGCCCAATGCAGGAAGTTTACTACATCATATACCATATTTTCAACTGTAGCCTGCCTATTTCCACTATACTCCACTAATCCTTCAGATAGTGGTGGTGCCATAGCTAATTTACCTGTTGCAAAATAAGGATTAATGTATAAGCCACTCTCGTCCTGTTCACTGCCTTGATAGCCCGTTAACAGCGAATAAACGTAATCAGCACCATCATGTCTCGCTTTAATGATCAGCGACAAATCTGGTGGTACTGCACCATTGTTAGAGGCTGCGGCTGCTTCTTTTGAGCCAAAAGGAGCTACGAAATAGTCTGAAGGTTTTCCAGATCTTTCAAACATTTCACCTAAATCATTAGGGCCATCTTTTATTTGGTAAGAAGCTGCAATTTGCTTAACCTCCTCTTCAGAAAAACCAACATCTTTTAAATTACGGAATGCTATTCTATTCATTGAGTGACAAGCAGCACAAACTTCTTTATATACCTTGTAACCACGCTGAATAGATTCCCTATCGAAATACCCAGTGATACCTGAAAATTTCCAATCTATTTTTTTATTTGGTAACGGTTTAAATTCTTCAGCAAACGCAAAGTTAGCAAAAAATAACATACCAAGTATAAGTCTTACTAACATTACTTCATCTCCGACACAGTATCACTTAAGGTTTTTGGTAACATTTTTGGTTTTTCATACTTGCTAAGCAATGGTAGGATAATTGCAAAATACGTAAAATAATAGAGAGTAGAGAACCTGCTGAGCGTAATATAAGGTTCCTTTACTTCTTGTCCTCCAAGCCAACCAAGGAGAAAAAAGTTGACTGCAAAAATCCAGAAAAATACTTTAAATACCGGACGATAGGCACCACTCCTCACTTTTGATTTATCAAGCCATGGCAGTAAAAACCAAACAAAAATAGAAGCAAACATGGTTACTACTCCTATTAACTTATTTGGAATCGAACGGAGCATTGCATAAAAAGGCAGAAAGTACCACTCTGGCACTATGTGCATTGGAGTTGTCATAGGATCAGCCTCTATGTAATTATCAGAGTGCCCAAGGTAATTAGGAGCATAAAAAACAAAAGCAAACAAAACTATAAGGAACAAGCCAAAAGTTATGCAATCTTTAACAATATAGTAAGGGTAGAGAGGAATGGTATCCTTGCTCGATTTTATTTCTACTCCACTTGGATTGCCAGAGCCAAATCTATGCAGGGCAATAACATGTAGCATTGCTAGAGCAATTATAATAAATGGCAATAAATAATGCAGTGCAAAAAAGCGATTAAGCGTAGGGTTCTCAACAGAAAATCCGCCCCATAACCATATAACTATTTTGTTACCTACAATTGGTATTGCTGAGAAAAGCTGGGTTATAACTGTTGCTCCCCAAAAACTCATTTGCCCCCAAGGAAGAACATATCCCATAAAGGCAGTAGCCATCATTGCAAAAAATATGAATATACCGACAAACCACACCATCTCCCTTGGTTTTTTATAAGATCCATAATAGAGACCTCGCATTATGTGAGCATACACTACTATGAAAAAAAGCGATGCTCCTACAGCATGAGTATAACGTATCAACCACCCATAACTTACGTCGCGCATTATACGTTCTACGCTATTAAAAGCGTGGTCAACATGTGGAGTATAGTGCATAGCAAGAACTATACCCGTGATTATCTGTAAAATCAGTGCTATACCAGCCAAAGAGCCAAAATTCCAGGCGTAATTTAAGTTTTTTGGTACTTGATAAGAAGCAATATGTTTTAGAAAAGAAAATATAGGCAGCCTGTACTCTATCCATCCAAGTATGCCATTCTTTTCTTCTGCATTTTTTATTTTATCATCGTCATCTTGCATCTTGATTTTATTTCCTAACTCTAGATTATTGTAATGCTTTATCTTTTCTACACAATAAAAACTTTGTAGATAGCAATACCCCCAACTATGAATGGAGTAAAACTTAGGGCTTTTTCGGTTACGAAATGGAAGTAGAGAAAATATGCACAAAGAATTTATTGGGGCAAGCTAAAGTGGTGCTAGATACCACACAACTGGTAGCCTCCTACAGCATTATTTATGCTGTAAATACTACTATAAGAGGCCGGGACCGGAATTGAACCGGTATAAAAGGATTTGCAGTCCTCCGCATAAACCACTCTGCCACCCAGCCATTTTTATTGTGCGTAAATGCCTACTATGCTTTCTAGCATAGATAGTGCCTCTTCTTTTTTGCGCTGAAAAGTATTGCGTCCAATTATTGATCCATTTCCACCGCCTTGTTTAATCTCTTTTGCTTCATTAAGTATATCATCTATTGATTTTGACTCACCACCAGAAAAGACTACCACTCTTCTGCCTGCAAAACAAGCTTTCTTAATATAGGCAATCCTTTGCGATAAAGAATCTATGTTATTGATCTTCTCCTTCTCTAGATGTTGAGTAGGAAGCTTTACCTTTATTATGTGAGCACCTAGTAAGGCTGCCATGTGCGCAGCATAAGCAATAATATCCATAGCGGTTTCTCCTTCTTTGGAGATTCCTTCACCACGTGGGTAAGACCACAGCACTGCGGCAAGCCCATAAGACTTTGCTTCTGCGATAATTTCACGTGCTTCTTCTATCATATCAAAACATTTTGCAGATCCAGGGTATATGGTAAACCCTACAGCAACACATCCTAAACGTAAGGCATCCTTTACAGAAGCGGTGATTGCTTGATCGGACGTTAAATTTTTGGAGTGTAGAGAGTTAGAGCTATTAAGTTTCAAAATAAGTGGCAGCATACCCGCATAAGTTGAAGCACCAGCTTCAATCATACCAAGTGGCGCTGCATAAGCACTCACTCCAGCATCAACTGCGAGCTGAAAGTGATAACATGGATCATAAGCATCAGGATTAACTTCAAAGCTTTTTATTGGCCCATGTTCAAATCCTTGATCAACAGGAAGAATCACCAGCCTGCCAGTATTACCAAGCTTTCCATGCATTAAAATCCGAGTAAGATTTGCCCGCGTTCCTGGATTATCACTTTCGTAGTAGCTTAAAATTTTTTTTACTCTATCACTTATTAGCACTGTATACACAAAGATTTAAAACAGCTTAATTCTAGCAAAAACTGTTGCTAAAGGAAAGGGTTTTAATATTTTTATTTTGTTATTCAAATAAGATTTTATTAATCTTTCAATTAAAACACTAAGTAATCAACTAATATATTTAAAAGCAAAGCATGAGCTTAGATAACAAAACCTTAAACCAAAAACTAATTGATTCGTGTGAAAAGGGTAATCTAGAAGCAGTAAGAAATGCGATAAAAGAAGGTGCGGATATTAATCATTATGATAAGTATGGATTGACACCTTTATATTACTCAGTTTTTTTCAAACATTATGAAATAGTAGAGTTTTTATTAAAAAGTGGAGCAAATATTTATGCTCCTAGTGGAATATCAGGTTATAATACTTTACACTTAGCTGCTCAAGAAGGTAGCAAACGGATGTTAATACTCCTACTAGTAGAATCAATTTTTCATGGGAAAGATGGTATTAATAACAGAGTGAACAACAATGGAGAAACTGCACTGGAAATAGCTTTAGAATGCAAAAAATTTGAGCATGCTAGGCTTCTTGCACTTTATGGAGCAGACAAGAGTGGCGTTAATCGTAATAGTAGTATTTTTAATATTATACCTGATAAAATAATTGAAAATATAAAAGAGCTTGCAGTAAGAAAGCAGCGATTTGAAGAAAACACAAAAGTGTTGCCTAAAGATTACGAAAGAGTAACATCACGTGCAAACATTGTTGTTGAAAAAGCAATACAAGAGGCTTTATCAAAAGGTGCTGCAACTTGTAGTCCTAAAACTTTAGTAGAGCTATCGGTTGATGCATTATCTGTAACGAAAAAAAGAAAAAGTGAAGATTTAAGTTGTGAACCGTCTATAAAACGAAGTAAACAAGCTGGTTTTTAATGCCCTATGTAGGTTATTATAACTAGATCAACTACCGTTACCACTGCATTGCACCTAGAGTGTTATAAACTACTTCAATTTGATGAGGAACGCAAGCGAATATCAGAAATCTAATGAAAAACTAAAGAGGAATGTGTGAAGAGTAAAGGCTTTTTATCCCTATAAAGAAAATTATAATGTTCGCTAATGACGTTGCTACTATAATAAAAAGCAGACCCTTATTGCAGCCGATAGTTGTACTATTGCTGCCTTTATCAAAGTACATCACCTTCACGATATTTAAATAATAGTAACATGATATCACACTTGCAACCACGAGAATCAGGGATAGCATTATAGATCCTGAATTTATTAAACTTGTGAATACAAAGAATTTAGCAATAAAGCCTGCAAATGGTGGTATTCCAGACATTGAAAGCAGCAGTATAGATAAATTGCATGCTAAAAACGGTTGTTTTGTACCAATGCCAGACAAGTTTGAGATATCACAACTATCATCATCCATTTGTATCAAACACGCAAATATTCCTATATTTGTCATTATATATATTAATAAATAAATTAAAGCACTGTTCATTCCTTCCTCCTGAAAGGTAGAAAGTGCAGCAAACATGTATCCTACATGACCAATTGCACTATAGGCAAACAGTCTTTTTAGATTGTATTGACGCAAAGCACCTAAAGCCGAGATGAGTACAGATAATGCCGAGACGTATAAAAAGATGGGTTGCACGTATTTCATTATACTTGTGTTTATCAACACTTCATTCATAAATCGCACTAGAAACGTTATAAGTGCAACTTTGGGTGCCGTGGAAAAAAATGCAGTTACAATAGTTGGAGCACCTTGATATACATCAGGAGCCCACATGTGGAAAGGCACAACGGCTAGCTTGAAGCATAGGCCAATAAAAATGAATACTAAACCAAAAATCACACCATATGTGACTTGCTTATTCTGTAAAAATAAACTCAATTCAGAGAAATTAGTTTGTTCTGTATACCCATAAAGCAAAGACATTCCGTAGAGCATAATACAAGAAGCTAATGCACCAAGTGTAAAGTATTTCACACCTGCTTCGCATGAATAAAGTGAATCACGATTAAAGCATGCAAGTATATATAGCGATATACTCATCAATTCAAATGCCAAGTAAAAAGAAATCAAACTATTTGCTGACACTAAAGTTATCATGCCAAACAATGCAAAGGAGATCAGTATGGAAAATTCATATTTATAGTCATATTTTGACAAATTAAATAACAATAGTATTGCTACACCTGTGGCAAGTATAAGCCATTGCGCTGCTCTGGTGTAATCATTCAATATCAACAATGAATTAAATAGAAACACCTGATTATTGTTTATAGTATTAATCAAAATGATGAGTGTTATAAATGTACAGCCAAGAACTAGTAAGTTGACGAAGCGGCGATTGAGCACGATACCCAGCAGCAATAAAACTAATGAAGAGATAATATAGAAAACTTCAGGTAGTATCTGTATATAGTGAGAATAATTCATAGCACATTACATCCAATTAGTAAATTACTGGTATACAGCTTTAAATAGTTCAGTACAAACGTTGGATAAATTCCGAGTAAAATAACAAATACTGCCAGTAAAGTTAAAATGCACAACTCAATTTTGTTTAAGTCACCATTTAAGTTACAGCAACCTATTCCCCATATTATCCTTCTACATAAGCTTAACATATAAATTGCACTTAAAATAGTGCCTAGCGCTATGAATCCCGTAATGAATTTTATGCTTTTAAACATTCCCAACATAGATAAAAATTCACCTATAAAACCTGATGTTCCTGGTAAGCCTATAGAGGCCATTGAAAATAAAATGAACATAAAAGCAAACTTCGGCATTATGTTTGCTATGCCGCTATATTTTTTAATNGTTCTGGCATATAGCATACCAACACATAAGAATAGTGCAGGGGAAATTAAACCATGACTGATCATTTGAAACATTGCACCAATAACTCCTTCTTCCTGAAATGAAAAAAGCCCAGCAGTAACAATGCCCATGTGAGCTATTGAAGAATATGCTATTAATTTCTTGATATCTTTTTGTGCAAATGCAACCAGAGAAGTATAGATCACAGCGATAATGCTGAGCAGAACTACCATACCTGAAAAGTGCATGCTAGCTGCAGGAAGCATAGGAATGGAAAATCTAATGAATCCATAGCCTCCCATTTTTATGAGTATTCCTGCCAAAATAACTGACCCAGCAGTTGGAGACTGTACGTGCGCATCAGGAAGCCAGGTATGAAAAGGAAACATCGGAATTTTTATTGCAAAGGATATAAAGAACGCAAGCCATATGGCTACCTGTATTTTAGGATCAAGAGCCGGCACTCGCTTAGTCAACTCCAGCATATCAAATGTTCCAAAATTCTTGTAAATGTATATTAATCCAAGCAAGAATAGTAAGGACCCAGTGAGTGTATAGAGAAACAATTTAAATGTTGCATATATTTTTTCTCTTCCACCCCAAATACCAATAATGAAAAACATCGGTATTAAAACAGCTTCGAAAAATACGTAAAAACTTATTGCATTTAAAGAAATAAAAAAACCAATTATGAAACTTTCAAGCAGCAGGAGCAATGCCATGTACGCTTTTAAATTTACGTAATCCATTTTGCAATTGTAGGCTATGCAAATTACAAAAAGAAAAGTTGTAAGCAAGAGAAAAAGTAAAGATATTCCATCTATTCCCAGTGCAATTCCTTTTATTGGGTAGCTTACAAACTGAAAATCTGGGTTATTATAATCAAAGCAAACTAAAGCAACAATGCTGAGCACGAATGGTGACGTAGCAAAGGCTAGACTTATTGTGTGCTTATAGTCAACCTTCACTAAAGACAAAACTAAAGCTCCTATCAACGGGAGCAGAAATATACTGAACAACAACACTTTTATTTCATTCCAATAATATATAAAGCACTTACTATTAAGGTCACAAACATGATGAGTGCATAATCAAATATATAACCAGTTTGTAACTTCACAGAATCTTTGGAACAGTTATTAACCAATTTAACAATACCGTTTGGCCCAAAGGAATCAATAACTTTTACGTCATTTTGCCATAGAACTTTAGAAATAAATCTTACAGGTACAACTACAGCAAATTCATATATCTCATCAAAATACCATTTATTTCGCAAAAATTTTAACAGAAACTCACTTTCAATTTGCCTTATAAACTTAAAGTAATAAACAAGGTACGCACATATTATTCCACTTAAGCTCACAAAAGTTGGCATTAACTTGATAAAGTAATTACTGATTAGATGCTCTTCAGCGACTACTAAACTTGATTTCCAAAATATTTCACTAGTTATATTCAAAATATTTGCTCCCCATATTCCAGAAAACAGCGACCCAAAAACAAGAATAATAAGTGGTATAAGCATAATCTTGGGTGCTTCATGTACGCTTAAGTTATTTCTTTTTTTGCCATGAAATACAAGAAGTAGTAATCTCCACGAGTAAAATGACGTGAAGAATGCAACTATCAAACTGACTATAAAAGCAAATATATCTGATCCATAAGCATGCTCAATTATTAGGTCTTTTGAATAAAAGCCTGCAAATGGAAATATTCCAGATAATGCAAGAGAACCTACCCACATTAAAATGTAAGTATAAGGAATCTTTTTCCAACATCCCCCCATTTTCTGGATATTCTGCTCGTGGTGTGTTGCGTGGATTACATTACCTGCTCCTAGGAACAATAGTGCTTTGAAAAAAGCATGAGTCATTAAGTGAAAGATAGCAATATTATAAGCGGAAAGACCGCACGCTATAAACATATAGCCAAGTTGACTGCATGTTGAGTATGCAATAATCTTCTTTATATCATCTTGAGCGATTGCAACTGTTGCTGCAAAAATAGCAGTAAGCATACCAATTATTACTATCATCTCTCGTGCTACATTGGATAGCTCAAACAAAGGGGAACATTTAGCTATTAAGAAAATACCAGCCGTAACCATAGTTGCTGCATGAATCAGTGCAGAAACAGGAGTTGGCCCCTCCATTGCATCCGGCAGCCATATATGTAAACCTAACTGGGCAGATTTACCCATGCAACCAATAAAAAGTAATATGCATATTATATGCATCACATTAAATTCACAACAGAATGCTTTAATTTTTTGACTTCCAAGGATCTCAATAGTATCAAATATATAGCGAAACTCCAGAGAACCAAACGTATAGTAAATGAGCAAAATACCAATCAGTAAGGAAAAATCTCCTACTCTATTGACAATAAAAGCTTT